CTTATCCAATTCCTTCTCCCCCCCCCTCCACATCACCATCATCTTCTTACTCTTCGATTAACATCTTAAGTTAAGACCGACAGATAGACAGACAGGCAGGCACGAAAAGGCACAAAAATGTAAATGTGCAGGTTCTAAGGACTCGCAAACTTAATAAGAAGTCATCCCATTTTGACGGCCATTTTCTCTCGTTAATTTTTCCTGTGACACCAGCGACCCCCCATCTCTTTCAATCGCAAATATATCTACTTATATTCACGATAGATGGCGATTTTTTCTCATCCAAAACAAGATAAATAAACAAGATTTAGGTTGATATCAATAACTCCATTAGCCACCCCCCCCAAAAAAAAACCCACACAAAAAACCCAAAATAAACAACAACACCCCCACCCCCCTTTTTCAACTGACGAGCGTCTGATTTCACTACGTCGTCGCGACACAATTTCTTATTATGCACCCCAGAACATTATACAAGTCGCATTTTCTCACCAATTTCGTCCTGAACTTTGTCGAAGTGTTCTCGGACTGTGTTCACTTCTTCTTCGCTGAGCACGTCCAGGGGGCAAGCATAGCCATTTAGATCGAAATACTTTGCAAACATCTTGGCATCTCCGTCCGCGGCCATAGTTTGTTTTGTTATTTTGCAATGTGTGTCACTGAAAAGAAAAGAATGCCCCATAGGTAGGAATACCCACATTACCGCACGCTCATATGACCGTGTGCAGTTGCGAGTGCTGTTAAACGCTTACAAAAAAAAAGAAGAAAACACAAGTAATTTCTTTCTCACCTCGTGCCAGAACACATTTTAACGCTATCCGTAGGTCGTGTTTTACTCTCCGTATCCATACGACGTGGGGAACTCTGTGCCACCACTTTTCAATGAGGAAATTTACTCGTTAATCCGATCCGTACGCTTTGCATAGCAGTCTGTCAAAATGATTTTTTGAGAAATACTGAAAGTTTCAAAGAGATCTTCGCTCTAGAAGTATTCTAAAATGTGAAGAATACAACCCCTGAGGCACAAAATGACTCCAAGCGTACGGATAGGGTTAAATGTATAGATCACCAACGCGAGCTCTCCATGCACTCATATCCTGGACTTAACAAACACGTTAGTCTTGACCTCTGTCTAGCTGTATCCCGTCTCCTTTAGGTCCGAATCTAAGTACATGTACATGCACGTGTACTTCCTTTAAGCACTTTTAG